TTTCAACACCTGGTGGGGTCCATAACCTGAGATTCCACTCACGTCATGGGGACTGGTTTTACGTGGTGGGGCCCCGAACACCGGACCCCACTGGTCCAAGCTTAAAAATCAATGGGTAATGCTTTTCCAACGCTCCTTATGCAGTCTCTGCAAAAAATATGGAAAGGACCCCTGGAGGTTTACTTTCCTGAAAAAAGTGTGTTATATGTCTGAACCCTGGTGGTGGCATGCGGGATATCAGGGAGGGGCACACTGGGGCAATTTCAGTCCAGCAGGCTGGAGCCAATCATGGAGCAGCACAACAGAGGAAGTCAGGTGTCAGGCTAGAAAAGGTGCAAGTGTGTGGTTCATCACGCTGCAAGAAATCATGGAGAAGCACACTGAAGCGCATGCTTACAAACCACTGGAAAGTGCTGACTACAAGTTATGATTACAAATTGTTACATAGAATTATTAAAATTATTTGTTGTTTGTGCAGCTTGGTCAAGAGTCCCTTAACAGAATTGATGAAGTCGACTCAGATTCTGACAATTTAACTGTCAAGAAACCTGTGAAAAAGTATGGAAAAAGAAGTCAAAACGACTTTTCTTCAACACTCAGAAAATGACGAACCAAATGCAAATAAGATTGTTATCATGCAGCTGCAAAAGAAGAAAAATGGCGCGAGAGTTTACAGCAAGAGGCACTTCTGCCTGTACTGTTCAATGTCCACTCCTGCCACAAAATGTCCCGTCATTTGTCTAGAAAACATGGAAATGAAAGTGACGTACCCAGAGCTTTGGCTCTACCTGTGAAATCTAAAGCACGTAAACTTCAGTTTGATTTGATCAGGAATAGTGGGCACCGTGAGCATAATTTCAAGGTTTTAAGGGCCGGCATTGGAACTTTAGTCCCAGCTAAACAGCCAAATTCCCCAGTTAAATCCAGTGACTTTTTGCACTGTATAGACTGGTGCATTGCTTAAGCGAAAGTGGCTGTGGAGGCATGTGACCAGGTGCCGGCTTTCACAGAAAGATGCCCAGCCTAAACCAGGTAGAAGTAGGGTCCAGTCCCTCTGCTCCCTAGCCCAGCCTGTACCGGAGGGCATCAGCAAAAAGCTGTGGTCTTTAATTGTGGCAATGCATCAGGATGAGGTGACGGGTGTGGTCAAAGCAGAAAAGGGGTTTCTGAGACTCGGAGAGCACCTTTACTTAAAACATGGGCATGATAAGACTAAGCATGATTACATTAGGCAGAAAATGAGAGAAGTCGGTAGGTTAATTAACAAAGCAAAAACGGTAGGGAAACAATTAAGGATTTCTTTATTCCTTCCAACTTTAACCATGTGATTGACTCAGTCAGGTCTGTGGCTGGATATGATGAGGAAACAAATCTATACAATACTCCATCCTTGGCCCTCAAAAGCTAGCAGATATTTTTGAATGTGACTCAAAAATGGAGCATTGTGTTGATGACCTGTTTATAAAAAACCTCCAACGAAGCCGGCTGCTTTTTGAGAAGAGGTGGGACGTCTTTGTTTCTTCTGCTGCCCTACAGACCCTCCGGCAAGCCAAGTGGAACACTCCGGACCTGCTCCCTCTGACTGAGGACGTTAGAGCCATGCATGCACATATCGAGGTATGTCGACTTGAATATGCGCAAAGCCTTAAAAGTGAGCCAACGTCTAAGCATTGGTCTAAACTGGCAGTTTTAACTCTTTGTGAGGTCATTATTTTCAATCGAAGAAGGGAAGGTGAGGTTTCAAAGATGCCACTGACAGCGTTTACTTTAAGAAGTAAGACTGGGATCCATTCTGACGTTGCTTTGGGACTGTCCGAAATTAAGAAAAAGCTGTGTCAGCATTTTGAACGAATTGAAATTAAAGGGAAAAGAAGCCGGAAAGTGCCGGTTCTTTTGACTCCTGAAATGATTGCTTCGATGGAGGTGCTGGTGGAGAACAGAAGGGCCTGTTCCATCTCTGACCATAACCCATACTTCTTCTCCCTCCCTCCCTACGGCAGGTAGCCAAAGAATGTGGTGCAGTGCATCCAGAGATGCTATCCTCAACCAAACTATGTCTACAGTTCTCAATATGAAAGAGAATGAAATGGACATACTAGCAAACTTCCTCGGCCATGACATTCGCATCCACAGACCATATTACAGACTACCAGAGGGGACGCTGGAGCTGGCTAAAATCAGCAAAGTGTTAATGGCCATGGAGCAGGGAAGAGTGACGGAATTCAAAGGAAAGAGCCTCGACCAGATACAAATTGAGCCTGAAGGTACAGTAATTCTTGATTTATCATTTGTATTATTATCCCCTAAATGACACTTGTATTTTTATTTTCTGTGCTACAGGGAGAGTAGTAGAGATCCTCTCACAAACGGAGGGGCTAAAAGAAACTTCAAGTGTAGGACCTTCAACCATTCAACCAGATGCACCGCATGGTAGTGGCAGTGCCCCTTCTGGTAAGTGTACCAGGTGGGGGGTTACACTGTGAGATTTCATAACACTTTTAAGCAACTTTTGTTAAAGTTAAACTCATCATTCTATCAATGTGCAGAAGCCAGTACTTTTCCCTTGTTTTGTCTATCTGAAGGCCAAGCTACATGGCACCCGTGGAAGCTGCTGATTGGAGGTCTCCATGCCTCCGCTCTGTATAATACACTTGCATTCTGTTGTTCGTGTTGTTCGTGCTGTCTCTACCATCGACAATAAAACATGTCTTCTGTCTGAATTTATGACACGATCCCAGACTTTGTCATCTTCTTCAGGTGGTGGAAGAATGCGGGCCTTGTCTGTAACATCTAGAGAACAGAAGACTACTTTTTTTTTACACAAAAAGTTTTTTTTTTTTTTTAGCCAAAACTGAGAAACCTCAAGAGAAACCATGCATCTGGACCAGCACACTTGGACAATCTGCACAGCCCCTGATTCCAGTTAGGCTGTGAGCTGCTGAGACATGGACAATACCAGCGTCCTCTTTTGCATGGACATAATTTGGAACAATTGGATATCTGAATTTGGACATGATTTGGACTGAATTGAATTGCTGAATCTGGACACTGAAGCTGAAACGTGTGATTTGAAAGACACGTCACAGAAGAATTCATGGCTTGACACAAATGCAGCCTGAAGAAAACTAAAACGGAGAAGTGGGAGAGACTGTTTTCAAAGCAATATCTGGAACCATCGACTGATGAAGTTTGGTATTTTACTGAAGATTGTTGACAAGTTTTATGAAAGATCTGAACATGTTTTCTGAGTTTTTGAAGTATTCCGAGTTCTGAGTTTTTTGAAGTACCGAGTGAAGTACCGAGTTTATGAGTTTAAGTATTGAGTTATGATGTTATGTTGCTGTTTATCGATCCTGATGGTCACACGTGAATGTGTGACCAGAGGGGGGAATGTGAGATTTCATAACACTTTTAAGCAACTTTTGTTAAAGTTAAACTCATCATTCTATCAATGTGCAGAAGCCCGTACTTTTCCCTTGTTTTGTCTATCTGAAGGCCAAGCTACATGGCACCGTGGAAGCTGCTGATTGGAGGTCTCCATACCTCCGCTCTGTATAATACACTTGCATTCTGTGTTCGTGTTGTTCGTGCTGTCTCTACCATCAACAATAAAACATGTCTTCTGTCTGAATTTATGACACGATCCCAGACTTTGTCATCTTCTTCAACACCCAGGCTGCTTGGTCCTAACCCTGGGAGTGTATATTTCTAATATATTTTTTATTTCTCTCCCTAGAACGTGTAAGAAAGCCATGGTCTGCATCTGAGGTGAAGGCTGTGGAGAAGACCATGATGACCATGATTCATACAGACTGGAAAAGTCTGGGAAGTCTCACTGCCTGGCCTGCATTAATGCCTCACCAGAGGAACTTAGACATCGGACATGGAGTGGCATTAAATTCTATGTCAAAAAAAGAATCACTACATTTCGAAGAAAAAAATCTAAAATAAAATCTTGTAAAAGATCTGTCTGTTTTGTATTGACTGTTTTGTATTACTTAAAGTGGTCCCAGTAAGAAAATCAGTGCAGAGTCATTCTAAAATAAAGCAAGATTTTAGGAGTTAAAACCATGGCTATGGGTCCCATATGGAACGGCCCTGTCTTAGGGACCCACCAGGTAACAAAAACGTGTATGTGTGTGTGTGTGTTTTTTTTTACCCATTTTGAATTAAACAACACAGAAAACAAGCAAAACAGAAATGATACTTATGTGATTTTAATGCTTTTTAATTACATATGTGTTTTTAATTGTATTTTAATGGTGATGATTTGTGCATTGTGTGGTGTGGACTGTGAGGCGCTTTGTGTTGCCCTGTGCAGGAAAAGCGCCCTATAAATAAAGATTGATTGATTGATTGATTGATTGATACGAAGTTGGCATACAACTGGGGTCAGGATTATTAACCACATCACCAAAACTGTGTAGATTCAGGAAAATTCACAAACTGAGAATTTTCTTTGCCATGTACTGCGATAATGAAGAAAACAATAACTATCAACTAAAACACCATTTTAAAGTAAATCAGTCCTGCACTCATTTTAACTAACTGTAATTTCTATAATTGTATATTGTCCTTTTGTATTATTATTGTTGTGTGACCTGCCTCAGGACTATGGAAATGAGCAGTTTTGCTACAATCTGGCACATTTACAATTTGTGTACAACTTGTATAAGATTGTTCATTAATGTGTGTTGTCCCGATCAAATAAATTAATAAATATACGTAAAAATTATAATTCAAAACAGAATATGTATACAGAGTAATACACACAGTACAGACATGTCCATATGTAACCGTTATTGACCATAGAGCGAGCCAACATTGCTGTGGTTAACTGAACTAAATAACTGAAGCATTGTTCTGTATTGTTTTCTATTACACAACCACTGCAGAAAGGATCTGATATGTGTGTTGCATGGTATTAATCTTTGACCACAGAGTTCTGCAGAGTTACACAAGAAGAGGCAAGAATCGTCCATTTGTTTTCTGCGGTGACCATGACGAGACGACTGCTCCTCTGTGAGTAAACCAGTTTTCTGTTCGAGTTGTACAAACATTTAGAAAACAGTCAAGCTAAAAATGACTTAGTTTGTCTCAGGATAAACTGTGTATAGTTGTATCGTCACTGTGAATATCTGAACCTAGAGAGCGTTTGTCACTTCAATATTCTCACACTAGAGTGGAGAGTCTTTAGATGAAAATGATCAGAGTTGACTGTATTAATTATTCATAAACATATAAATCTCTTTGCACCGGAGTAAATGTTTTTGTGTTAATGTTTGTGTAATATTATTAACATAATATTAACATATTGTGTGTTTGTGTGTGCTCCTCGTTCTTTCTGGTCTGTAACCTACGAAACAACACTGACATTTCCAGTGTATTTACTTCTGGAATTCAACTTAAATGTGAAACTAACGTATGACGGACTCTGTAAAGACAAAGAGAGAAATATCGAGCCGTCCTTTGTTTTATTGTTTATCATTGACTCACAATAAAAAACCAAAAATAAAACTCTAGAAAATGTGTTTTTGTTTTATTCTATTGGATTGTGAACACAAATCAACAAAAGCACATGTCACTTTAGTTTGTATCACATTCTTTCATATTTTAAGTTAAATTGCAGAAATAAACCATATTCTAATTTTCACCTGTAGATTTTGTTGTTTTTTGTTCATTTCATTTCAAGAGTTATTATGTACATTATAGTATGAAACTTTGTAGTATTTCGCTGGCTCAAAATATATAAATCACACAACAGCTGTTATTGAATTTAGAAGCACGGCTAACCACAATTATTTCTTTAACTTTGGATCAATTTGTGGATTTATAGTTTTAAGTATTAATTTGTTAAAAAGACATATTGTGCTTCTTTGTTCCCAGTGTTGTGGACTTTGCTGCTGCTGGACCCCGCTCTCCAAAGTCAGTCCACTCTCCCGACTATAATACTTTCAAACATGTGTTTTGTTACTAAGTTTGTCCTTAAACTACTGTCATTTCTACTGCCTATGACTTATCAAACACGCTGGATAAAGAAACAAATTACGTGCACGGTGAAATATATATATATTGAAATATATCAATATACAGTATATCAAGTTTATAGCTGTGATAATAACGGCTCACAGATTGTAAACACATTTATATAAAACGTCTCATGAAGTCACTCTGCAGGTTATGAGTCACATTTTAGTTAAATTTCAGAAATAAATTATGTTGAATGAAAACGAACAATCGTTGCACTATTGTTTGTATTCTCATATACAGTATATGTATTTTTCATTTTGTTATTTTTTTATTCTGGAAAGGTGTTTTATGTTTGATATTAAACATCAAACATGTTCCTCGTCAAATCAGACGCTTTTTTGTTCCATTCACGTTAATATCAGCAACTTATTGTGTACACACTGTGTGTCGATGAGTAACACTGTGAGGTCACATTCAGAGCCGTTTTTTTGCTTTTAAACAAAAGTATTGGCTCTTTTAGTGAAATTACATTAATCCCAACCCCGGTTTTTGCAGATGTTGAAAGAAAATAAAATACATTCATCTACTCCCTCTAGTTACATGTTTTCTATTATTTTTTTATAATATTTTTGCAGTGAATAAGAAATAATGTCTCAAATGGTCACACACAATACATTTATTAGTCAAAACAACAGAAATTCAGAACAATATCCTGATTCATTTTAGGTTATCTAGAATTTACTTGTTGTGTGTTGTCTGTTCGTGTTTTATTTAATTTAATCTCTTCACGTCCCCAGGCAGAGTGCGGGTCAGTCCAGACCAGTCACAGTTCTTCAGAGGGGAGAGGCTGAACCTCCGATGTGTCGCCTCAACCTGGAAAGTGTGGAAAATGGGTGCAGGCCCCGGGACGCGCTGTGGCGATAAGTGGGGCGCACAGAGTGGCCCCCACTGTGTTCTCAAAAATCTAGACGTAAAGGACAGCGGTCAGTACAGGTGTCAGTCCAAGGATAATGAAACCTCTGAAACCTCCTCCATCACTGTCACAGGTAATGGCTGGTTTTTGGGGTACCACAGGGCTCCCTACTGGGACCTGTGCTGTTTGCTTTATACATCAAACACCTGTTTATAATAATACATCGGTTTTATATAGCGCTTTTTTGGACACTCAAAGACGCTTCACATGTGTCATTATTCTTTCTCTCCATACATATTGGTGATAAACTACTACTGTAGCCACAGCCGCCCTGGGGCACACTGACAGAAGCGAGGCAACCAGTATGTGCCATCGGCCCCTCCGACCACCACCAACCATTCACACACACACCAGACTCATTCTAGGCAATGGGGGTGAAGTGTCTTGCCTAAGGACACAACAGCAGTTTGGCACTTTACAGCCGCAGCTGCCCCACTGTGGCTGGTATTCCCAGAGGTTAAGTGTCTTGCCAAGGACACACCGACAGTAGTCAGTGGGAGTCGATGGTGAAAGTCTTGAGCGGGGCTTGAACCCACGACCTTCTGGCTCAAAGGCCAACGCTCTACCAACTGAGCTACTGCCGCCCCCGTTTAGAGCTGAAAGTAGATTTAATGTACATATTTACAATATGATTGGCATCTACTGCACTGATGGAACATAAATATATATTTTCACAGTATGTGTGGATCCAAACTAACGTAATAAAATAAACAAGTCCAAGCCTGTCTGTATCCATGCATTCTGGATCAGTGACTTTATATAGCGTACTGCTGTGATTTTTGCAAGAGACAGGGCAATCATCGAGAGAGCATTTTTTGTGTTTTTGTCTGAGAAACAGGAAGTGCTTCTCTAATGAGGTCACCAAGCTCTAAAATCTTTGAGTAAATATTATAAATTAATTGGGTGAATAATTAGGAAATAATAAATAGGTGACACAGTGATAAATAACATAAACTCTGCTCTTTTCAAATGAATCAAACACATGTTTGTAATAACATGATGTTGTTTTCCTCAGACAAGGTCGTGATCCTCCAGATGACCACTCTCCCAGTGACTTCAGGACAAAAGGTCGATTTGATTTGTCAACATTACATTGCCTTCAATCTTTCCACTCGTTTCTATAGAAACACAGTGGCCCTGTCAGGGGGGTCTGCAGGGACGCTGACACTCCAGCGGGTGGCGCTGTCTGACACAGGCCAGTACCAGTGTGAGATGGGAGGAGTGCGGTCAGAGTCTGCTCACCTCCAAGTCCTTGCAGGTGATTTTAATACCTATCCAATGCTGATAATGTTCCTTTTCACTGGAATGTTATGGAAGAGGTGAACATAAAATAAACAATAGTTAAATAAATATAGTACGAGTAACTTTCTGACTCAACTGTGATGTGCTCTTTAATTATAGTTCCAAATTCAGAAATCCATTGTTTCCAAATTCTGTCCATAGCAAAAGAGGACGCTGGTATTGTCCATGTCTCAGCAGCTCACAGCCTGAGTGGAATCAGGACTGTGCAGATTGTCCCAAGTGTGCTGGTCCAAGATGCATGGGTTCTATTGAGGTTTTCCTCCCAGTTTATGGCTTAAAAAAAAAACAACCTTTTTGTGTATAAAAAAAAGTAGTCTCTGTTCTGTAGATGTTTACAGACAATGCCCGCACTCCTTCCACCAACCAGAAGAAGATGACATAGTCGTTGGGATCGCGTCATTCATTCAGACAGAAGACATTTTTATTGTCGATGTAGAGACAGCACGAAACAACACGTACACAGAATGCAAGTGATTATTCAGAGCGGAGGCATGGAGACCCCTCCAATCAAGCAGCTGCCACAGTGCCATGTAGCTTGGCCTTCAATCAGACAAAACAAGGAAAAGTACTGGCTTTCTGCAACATACGAGATAGAAGGATGAGTTACCTTTAACCAACAGTTCCTTAAAAGTGTTATGAAATCTCACACATTGTACCAGGTTGTAGCAATCAGTGCAAGTTTAGTAGATTTGGCTACTTGACCAAGCAGAATTAACAATTTAAATTTACAAAAAAGTTATAATAAAACTTCTTTTAAAACAAAAATCTCCTCCCATACACACATTCATAAAAATTAATGTCCATAAAAAAAATGACATAGAAATAACCTACATGTAGAAACAGCAAGACCACCTTGTACATACTTGTGAGATTCTTTACCCCTTGACACTAAAAAGCCGTCAAATTGACTGCTCTGGGAGTCCTTGTGTTGTGCTCTCCTTTCCCCATACTCCTCTTATCAAACCTCGCATCTCATCGCTTCCAATCCTAATTAAATATTTCCCAACCAGAAGGAAACGTTCTCGTCTCTGTTCTAAATCTTAAGAGGCCGCTAATTACACTCAATTGCTTTTTTTTTTTGCTTTTTTTTTACTTGAGCCGAAAAAACGTCTGCAGACTCGATACTTTAGTGAATCGCAGCCAACGCTATAGTAAAAGTTTTTATTTACTCACCGCGGTTAAAACACTAAAGAGAAGGGAGAATCAATCTTGTTGGAGCGGTAGCCTGGCCCCTCCCTCCCTACCAGCCACCCTGTGAAGCCTCATGGTAAAGAGCTTGGAAACCGTAGGCCCTCGCCAGAAATCAACCGAAATGCACGGAATACTTGGCACTGTCCACCGCTCCCCCAGGGGCAATGTAGCTACATGAACAGTAAACTGTCGGAGATTTGCAACATGGCTGCAGGGCCAAGGGAATTGACACTGTCACAACAGAGGATATGGAGCTGCCGTGATATCCTTTCGGGCACATACATGACAAGCATCCAGTGGAAATTGGTATGTTTTTGCCAAGAGGGAGGTTTTTCGATTTAGGTCTGCAGTGTTGTAGGTGAGTTTTTTTTTTTTCTGCCATCGAAAAGAAAAAGGACCACCTGCAAAAAGTGATGAAAAAGTCAAATTAATGGGCTAAATGTATCTTAACCCTGATCACAAACTTCCTGATTGGTGAAACGTGGAGGGCGGTACCAGTGAAATGAAAACTATAACAAGATTTAGTGGCTGAAAATACCATTTTGATGTCTAAACACTCTGCAGAATTACTTTATCAGCTTAAAGACGTATTCCCAAAAGAGCATGATCTGGAACAGTCGTTTCCGAGAATGTGAGACAGTCGTCTGCTCTGGAAGTTTTAATATCTAGGTTAAAACAATTTCTTTTTTTAAAGCACTATAGTCTGTTTTAAGATTCAATCCCAAGTGTGAAGTTTTTGAGGTTTTTATCTACTTGTGTGATATTCCTTTTTTACGTTTAATATTTTCCTTGTGCTTCTTTTGTGTCTGTGTTTAAAAAGAAAAAAATACAGACACCAAGGCAATAAAAAAAATGTTGGATTTTTTTATGCTATGTATATGGTTTGTGAGGCACCTTTGTGTTGCGCTTGTTTGGGAAAGGCGCTCTACAATAAAGTGCTTTATTGATGATGATTTTATATCTTTTGACAGATTAGGCCATTTAAAGATTGCAGAAGTTTTTTCCAAATTTAGCAAGAACCCCGCCCTCCTCCACTTTTTGAACCAACTCTCTGGTCTTATGGACAGCACGTAATCACCAGTATCACCAGAATATTGACAGTTGGGAGGACCACTAGTCTTGATGATCCAACCAAGTAAAAATCCTCCTTTATCCCTTAAATGACGTGTCCATGTTTTAAAAGACTTCAGATTGAGGTTTTCCAAGCCACCAACCGATCAGAACTGTTGTACAACAGTGTGTTTGTGGATATGTCCCGCAGGAGCGGTTTGCATGTTTACCGTGTCCATTCATTCACTTTCGATTAGATTATAGAATATCGGACAGTACAATCCTGCCATGGGTTAGCGCTGCGCTGATAACCGTGAACCAAAATCTCTTTTAATGTGATAACGTTTCAAAACAGGAGGTGAAATGTGCAGAACGACATCTTTGTTGTTGGGTGTGGAGGCCCGTTGTTTAGACCGTGTTTGCAAGAAATATTTTATGAAAACGAATTAAATAATGTCACATACAAATTCATAGATTCATTACATTGTATTGTTGTAACAGAGAGCATCACACCTCTCTCAGTATAACATACATACACCCCGCTCCTGTCCTCAGTATAACCATACGACCTCTCCTGTCTCGAGAATACATACAGACCTATCTCTAGTCTCAGTATACATGCAGACCTCTCCTTGTCTCAGTATACATACAACCTCTCAAGTCCAGTATACAACAGACACTCTCTTGTCTCAGTGATACACAGACTCTCTAGACATCAGTATACATGCAGAACCTCTCCTGTTCAGTATACATACAGACCTCACCTGTCTTCAGTAATACACACGAGACCTCTCATGCCTCAGTAATACATACAGACCACTCCTTCCTTCAGTATTCATACAGACCTCATGCCCTTGTCCTCATTATACATACAAACCTCTCTTGTCTCAGTATACTACGAGTGACCTTCGTCCTGTCTCAAGTATACATACAGACCTCTCGCTTCACGTATACATATAGACCTCTCTGTCTCAGTATACCATACAAGCCTCCCTGTCTCAGTATACATAACAGACCTCTCCTGTCTCAGTATACATATAGACCTCCATGTCTCAATATACATACAGACCTCTCCTGTCTCAGTATACATACAGAACCTCTCCGTCTCAGTATACATACAGACCATCTCCATTCTCAAGTATACATACAGACCTCCTTGTCTCAGAAATACATTCAGACCTCTGTCTCAGTATACATACAGCCTCTCTGTCTCAGTATACATGCAGACCTCCTCAATGCCACAGTAAATACATGCAGACCTCTCATATACATGTAGACTCACACCTCTCTTATCTTTCTGTACAAATGTCCTCTGATAGACTGTTGAGTGCTGCTGTGATGACGACTTTGGAAATATCTCTACATTCTTCGAGGCAGATAAAAGCTTTGGACCTATGGCTTCACTGGAACATTAGCCATAGGGTCTGTGGTGTTGTGTGTGTGTTTGGTGTGTCTGTGGTATTGTGGTCTGTCTCTGTGTGCGTACATAGTGTGTCTGTGTGCTGTGTACGTTCCCTGTCTCTGTGCGTGTCCTGTCTCGTCTGAGTGTGCCTGTGTGTGTCCCATTGTGTGTATGTTCATGGTGGGGCTGTACCTAATTAAAGCTAATCTTTCTTCATAATGAAATACATCTCACCTTTTGTTTCCTAAAGTCTTATCTGTGGTGAAAACGAGACACGTCGATGTTGCGTTGGACAAATCTAAGGGCTGTCCCTTTTCTAGACATTAACCACTAGTGCCCAACCCCCATTGGAAGAAGTTTTTCTGTTTGAGGCAACATCATCAGGTGTGTGGTCCCCTCAACAGAATAAACAAAAAGCGATTTCAGATAACTCCAATTGACTTCACTAAAACTTAAGCCGAATATCGACTTAACACCTTTAAACCTGGGTGTCAAAAACAAGGCCCGAGCCAGATCTCAGGCCCGCAAATGAAATATCTGGTCGCGCCCGGGATGATATTTGTTTGAATTTAGAACCAGCCCACAGAGCCCATAAAAAAATATTGGATTATTCCGTTAATGTTCAGGACAAGTGAACTGTCTTTGAAGGAAGTTTGTTTTTCGTCTCTGAGCCTAAATAACCCAAGAATATTGATAATTCATTGAATCAATAAATAAAATATGGTACGTGTGTTGAGGTCTCAGTTCAAAAGGCAAATGCCAAGAATTTATTAATCTGTTTTAATAAACATTGAACCAGTCCGGAACGGCGGCCCAGACTTGTGGTAAATTTGACAGTTTTAATCCAATACTTTGCAACAGCACCTCATCACAGGTAGAACTACTGGACGCCGGGCAAACGGAGGGCTGGGGGCCCTCACGTGGCCTGATTTTCGTTTCCTCTGCGCTCTGGAGCTCTTCCCCACATCCATACTGTCTACCAGACCGCTGTTGCTTTAATAGAATAGTAATGGACGTCAATGCCTAATGAAGGTGTGTAACTAATAGCAGAGACATAAACAAAGTCACAAAATTATGCAGACCACCTGATTAACATACGTTTTAGCAACTACATTTACAAAACTAAAACCACGGAAATTGCCTTGTGTGTGTAGTAAGGTGCACTATAAAAATAACTAGCTTAAACTCATGCATGAAAACAAAACGGCTAACAAAACTACTTTGAGAGTGAAAATGACGAGGAAGACCATCCCAACTCTTCTATATCTGTTGTCGAATTGTTTATCTGCGGATGTGTGTGCGTACGTATGTGTGCTGCGTGTGTACGTGTGTGTGTTGTGTGTGTGTCTGCGTTGCGTGTGTTGTGTGTGTGTGTGTGGTGTGTGTGTGTTGTGTGTGTGTGTGTGTGTTGTGTGTCGCGTGCGTGTGTGTGTGTGTGTGTGTCTGGCGTGCGTGTGTGTGTAAACAAGCTGCATTGGATCTGGAGACCCCATCTAGAACGCTTTTATAGAACCAGTGAAGACCGGAACCGTGACATGCCCACGACATGCCCAGACTGCTACGCCGTCACCCCCCCATACTTCCCACGTGTTTTACAATAAACTCAGAAAATCTTCAGCCCGTCCATGGGGAGCTTTGATTAGGCTTTAAAAGAATACATTATGTCGAATTAGATTTTAAATATATGTTTGTTTAGGTTACGATACACGACCCGCATCTAAACCAATGATAAAAATGAAAGTCCTCACACATAGTCCAGTAACTAGTCCGTCGCCTTCTCAGACTGAGAAGAGGCACTGGAGGATCTGACGAGCTTTGGGAAATCCAGCCAGACAAGTTCCAGAGATCCTCTGTTCCGCCGCGAAATAACAACTACCCAACTACACAAATACACGAATACACAACTAGACTACTACCCCAACACACTCAACAGTAAATGAGTGGTACTTGCAGAACACCCCCTGAACGCGTCTTTTCAAAACGGTTACCTATGTTTCCTCCGTAGAGCTATTTTTTTGCTCCCTCTCTCCCTCTACATCTCTCCTTTCTCTCTCTCTCATTCTCTCCCGCCTCGCTTCCATTCTCTATTCACCATCTCTCTTCCCCCTCCCTCTCCTCATTCTCTTCTTTCTCGCCTTCTCTCTCTCTCCTTCTCTCTCTCTGTATCTCTCTCTTCGCTTCTCTCCTCTCTCCTCTCTCTCTTGTCTCTCTGCCTCTCTCCTCCCTCCCACTCGCATTCTCGTCCCTCTCTCTCGTCCTTCCTCACTCTGTCCCCCAATCTCTCTGCCTTTTTCCTCTCCCTCTCTCCCTCGTCTCTCACTGTCTCTCTCTCTCTCTGTCCGTCTCTCCCTCTCCCTCGCTTTCTCTGTCCTCTCTTCTGGACTAGTCTGTGAAAAACCCTCCTACCGAAACCCTCCTTCGCTAACCTTACATCCAGTCTGTTATTTAAACGGCAATGACAGAATATGCAAAGCATGTATATAACCCATAACCTCAATGTCATTACTGCACATAGAGAGTATTACCTACAACCCTGCTCTGGAGCTTTGGACACACCCCTGAAACCATCCCAGGGCAGAGAGCCAAAGTTCTGCAGACAGACTCAGGGCGACCATAGCGGGGGCCTAAAATATTTCCAGCGATGTGCCCACTTTCAGTTTTAACTCAACCTCCCAGTCAAAACAAAGGGAATAACTGGTGAAAGGAATGCGGTTTAGCAAACCCACAACAATAGGTTTGGTCTGTATTTGTATTAGTTTCATAATACGGAGGGCCCGTGTGTATTAATGAACAGAAGTGACTGTCAATAAA